TAATTTTCTAGGGTTAGCTTAGGGTTCTTCTGATTTGACTTTAATTTTTATTTTTTCTTGTTTAATATTCTAATTTTGTAATTGTAAGTAAGTTCTTGTTTTCGATGCAACTTATATTTTTATGATTTGATCACTTAGTTTTTGTTGTTAATTGGATTGGTGGGTGTGGTAAATATTCATTCTTTATGTGAATCGAGTCTCTGTTTTGTACTGCCAAGTTGGTTAATTAGATTGAATTGGGCCATTAGCCTTTTGATGGGTATTTATATTTCAAGTGATGAAATTTCAAATTCAAGTTCAGTTCTTTCTTTTATCATTTTGCTTATAATCTGGCTTTTTTTTGGGTCATTTGTTAGAGTTGTTGTTATTAGTGATCTTGTATTGGAATTCTGGATATGGGTTGTTTCAGTTTTCTTGTTTACTTGGATTTGCTAGGTTCTTGGTCAGGTGTTTTGATCTGCTAAGAGAAATCGGTTACTCCCTATTGCTATGTGTTTGTGCTTTTTTATGGTATTGACCCTTAAAAGTTTCTACCGCCTTGGGATGCAGATTGGTAGCTTTTAATGGAAGTATTGGCTTGGATTATTTGGTTCTTGATGTATGAGTAATAACATCTTATCATGTTCATTAATATTGGTTTGATATCCATGCTAACAATTCATTAGATATCATATTTTCTATTAGAAAGGGGGTTTCTATGAGAAAGGGGGTTTCTATGAGAAATGTTGCATTTCATATAAATGTTTTGTTTGTAAGCTTCTGGTATAGTTTTTTCATGGTTATCGACTAATTGTCTATGAAATTGGTTTATGCACGTCACTTACTTCCCTTTTCTATTTTTGGGTTAAGATGTTTTCTTTCAAAATTCTTAGGTTTGGGTTTTTGTTTATCGCCTACTTGTTTACTTTTGGCTCATTTTTCAATCCTTGGTGCCTTCTCAGTTTATGGGAGGAATGATGCAGGCCTAGCTTCTGGTGTTACATTAGTTGTTTCTTTGATTGTTTTGAACCTCCCTTGTCCATTACTGGATACAGTTTCGAGTTTCACCTTGGAGTACTGATTCTTATTGGAAGGACTGGAGTGTTTTCTATTTCAAGCACATGGCTATGGGGATTTCATCTGCATTTATGCAGAAGCCCCCAAGATTTGACTACAATTTTGGTAACAGCTATCTTTGAGTGGTTGCTTATTTCTATGCTGTTCGTTGATGCCATATTCTCCTATATAATTACAAAGTTCGCTTATTACTGTGGATTGCCAACACCCTACCTGACTATTTTGACAGCAACATCAACATGGGTTTTACTCCAAGTCTACCAATTCAACTTCCTCACTCTGATTTAATACGTGGGCATGTTTATTGTTGCTTCGTTGTTCCTTTCAAGCAACTTACTCAGGCTTCTTGGCAAGTAAGTGAGCTAAGCCCCCCTGCTTTCTAAAATCCCCTGTTCTTGTTCATTTTCTAGTACTTGTGTTGTGTAACGATTTTTGCATTTTAATTTGCTTTATTTTCAGAGAGCCTCCAGACTTGTCAAGAGTAGGAATTCTA